GAACTACATGAACTTTAAGGCACAATTTGGACAGTTTATCTGGAAAAAAGACAATTTGGGGATTAGTTACTCTTTTAACTTTAAATATTTTATATTTTTTCTAATTTTATTATTTGGTCGGATTTTATATGTTTTACTTGGTTTTAAGTTCTCATGTTGGATTTTTGTCTTAAATCAGTGTTTTTTTATTGTTCAATCTGGCCGGGTGGTGTTTTAAAAAGCCTTACAAATAAAGTTGGACTGGATTACTTGCTGGGTGAATGCAATACCAGAAGACGCCATGTTTGATACAGTGCTGCTGCTGAACTCAAGGAAGTGGTCCAGATGGCAAGGGCCGATCAGGCAGCTGCCATCAATTTAAAATAACAATCTTTACCATATGGTTGTGAAAGTGTCCTGGACAGGGTGGTCCGTGGAAGGTGCTTTTCGTCATTACCGAGCCAACTCCTGCAACAGACGGAGATGACTTCCTTGACCCAGAGAAGTTCCGGCCTCGTGCAGAGGCGAACCGAAGCCTCGCGCAGCGCCGCGGACAAAGACCGGACGCTTTGCCAGGAGGCTCACGATGAGCCCCGCCGGGGGGATGAGCTGGAAGACGACGATACTGGAGATTCCAAAGAAACACGACTGACCTTAATGGAAGAGGTGTTACTGCTGGGACTGAAGGACCGAGAGGTAACGAGAAGTAAATTCTGCTCTGCAGAAATCAAATCAACACTGAAGGCTAATGTTTTCCTGCTATGCTAAAGCTAACAACAATACAGGCCTGTTGTTATTTTTTTCCGCAGACGAACTGTTTATGGTATTGTATGCTTTGATTATACTTCTGTGCATGCTAGAGAGAAATAATACGATATAGTATTGTGTTTGACCAATTCAGTACAGGAATCTGTATTAACAAGAAAGCAAATATTTCGTACACGCAGTTCCCGATTACACGTCCTTTTTCACAGCTTTGCAAGAACCTATCATCCAATGCAAACACAGTGATTGTCCGCCGACGATACTATGTTTTTACCAGTGTCTGTTTGTGTGTTTGTTATTTTGTATCGCTAGTAAACCTCTGCACGGATTTTACTCTATCATTTGGGCGTACATTTCAATGTTTGTTTTGAAATAAACCGATTCAAGATGGCCATCATAGCCAGTCAAACTAAGCCAACACAAAAATGGCTTTAACAGTTTTACAGATGTACGAGTATTGATTGGTGTGGTAGTGGCTGAAAGTCATTTAGCACATACACTGAGAGCTACCTATGACACACACACACACACACACACACACACACACACACACACACACACACACACACACACACACACACACACACACACACACACACACACACACACACACACAAACACACATACACACACGTTTGTTTCTCGACCCCGTGGGGACCTTCCATCGACTTCCATTTATGTTTTTTAGACTTTATATCCTAACCCTGACCATATACTCTAAAATTAACCTCACAGGTACCTACCTGACCCTAAAACTAACCTAAACCTTGGTCCTAAACCTAACCCCACACCTGGAACATGCATTTGGACCTATGGGGACCTGACATTGGTCCCCACAATTCACTTCGGTCCCCACCTGGCTGATTTTTTTTGTAAAAAATACCCCATGTTGTGGGAAAAACCCGTACACACACACACACACACACACAAACAAGATGGCCGCTACAGCTAATCAAAATGATCCAGCATTTAAATAGCTGTTAGATTATACATGTGAAGTTGTACAGCTTGTCTGTAAAGGACACAGATTTCCCCCATTTTGTAACTGTGTAGACCAGGGGTGCTCAACCTTTTTTGAACCAAGAGCTACTTTTGATGTTGGCAGTTTGCCGAGATCTACTCGTCCAGTCTCAGTATTAAAAAAACATAATTTTGTCGCCTTACTCCTCACTTCTTTAAAGTAAAAAAAACAGAACGTAATGTGTTGCTAGTTTTATTTAATTTAAAGTATTGTCAAACAAAACTATCTACTTAACCATATATTTACCAACAAAAAAAAGAAAAGATAAAATCCTTACTTAACTCCTGACAGAGAAACAGAAAAGTGATGCTTGAACAAAAAATACCATTATTTGTTATCTCCTTCAATCAGTACTCCCTGTAACATGCGAGCAATGAGGGCTGAAAACCCTTTCAAGTGTGAGAACCACAGAGTCAAATAAATTTGGAGCACGGGAACTCGTCTCCATTTATTCAAAGAACTCTCCTCTCTTCTCTCCATACAGGGGAGGAAAAACAAAACAAAAAAACTATCAGGGTCAACATGGCTACCACAAGAGTACTGCCCTTTTTTCAAAGTAAAATCACACAATATAAAACTCTCTCGCAGGCAGCTGTAAAACCCGGTGCTGAGCTTCCAGGACCGGTTTCACCTGATCAGATCTGTTACTTTTAATGCCTGGAAGTGATCCATCAGGTGGGTTTCTGAATTTTATGCATTTTTGCAAAATATCGCCCGCCAGGGTTTTCTGGCGGAATCCAGGCAGGAGAGCGGGTGCTGGACGCATGACCGCGGTTCCACCTCACTGGATCTCTTCCTTCCTCTCTTCCTCTTCCTTCGCACCCAGATCAGACACTCAGAGCCGGCGCTAGAGGCTCCGGAGTAAATTGAGTACTATATCGCCCGCCAAAGCGCCTTTTTCAGCCAGTCGTTGGTTAGTAGCTCCACGGGGAAACATCCGAGCAACTTGAAACCACTTCCAGTTTGTAGAGGAGGACCATAGCTTTCCAAAGTCATCTCACTGTCCTGGATCCGATGCTCAGAGCCTGCAGGAGAAGCAAACAAATGTTGAAATTTCCTCCCAAAAATGCATGTAAAATGCACTAAGTGGTGTGTAATTTGCTTACAGCTCCACGGGAGAATGCCATAGAGACTCCATTCAAGTATCAGCTTATAGGACAGAACCAGAGCTTTAAAAACGACCAGACACTCCAGGATCCTATGCTCCTAGCCCGGGAAGGGGGGCTAAAAGCACCCCCCGGCGGAGGTCCGACGGTGCGTAATTTTGGAGGTTTTTCACTTAAATCTCCGCGGGGGAACGTCGCAGGGACTCCACTCAACTTTCTACTTGTAGGGCAGAGCCAGGGTTTTAAAACCCTACCAGCCAAGCCGGGATCTGACGCTCCTAGCCCGGGAGTGGGGCTAAAACCACCCCGGAGTCAGGTCAGATGGTGCGTATTTTGGAGGTCTTTTTGCTTATAGCTCCGCGGGGAACATTGCAGGATTCGTTGCAGGATTCGTTGCGGGAACGTTCAACTTTCACCTTGTAGGGCGGAACCAGAGCTTTCAAACAAGACCAGCCACTCTGGGATCTGATGCTCAGAGCCGGCACTAGAGGCTCCGCAGCAACGTTGCGCTTCACCGGTACTTGAGAACCAGCTGGCGGGTGACCAGTCGCTCGCGAGTGACTGGTTGGGCACCCCTGGTATAGACGTATAGGTCAAATTCAGATTATTGTATTTAATCAGCTTCAAATGTATTTTGTCTCATAGCCTGTAGGTTGTAAAAAATAATTATACATATTAAAGTTAAATAACCATCTCCCAGCCTACTCAGCTACTAGAAATAAATAGAAATCAGTCGTCCGTACCCCCCCCCCCAACACACGCACACATTTGTATTGCTTTGTGAAAATTACATGTTTGAGGTTCAAGATACAGCTAAACGTCCAAAGGGTTGATGTGTGCTGTTAAACAGTCCATTTTGGGGGCGTCTGTCATTGCGACAGAGTTGCCATCTCCAGGGTTCAACAAATCCTATTGCCCGGTGGCAATGCCTGCCCGATCGGGCAGGTAGACAGTTTCTTTTATTTTTTTATAGGGCCATTTATTCAAAATATTCTGAAAATAAAAGAAAGGTCTAAAAAAGGATTTTGAAGATGTTTTTGATGAAACAATTGACTGACTGTGAGTGACTCGGTCTACAATGTTTGCATCTGCTAAATCAGATGTCATAAATTATGTACCTCTGTGTGTAACCATGTTAATGTTTTTGTAGTACAAATACAATACACGTTTTTCTTATATTTTATCAAATTTTGAACATTTTTGTTTCGGGCAGGTAACTTTTCATGTCAGGCAGGTGACGAAAAACGTCACCTGCGTAAAGAAAAAAAAATCTTGTTGAGTCCTGGCTGTCTCAATTCCATCACTATTCATTCACATGTCAAAGTATCCCTGGGCAAGACACTGAACCCTTCATTGCCTCTGATGTGTGTCCCATCAGTGTATGAAGGTGGTTTAAGCACTGACAAGTCTCTGTAGAATAATTTATCTAGATTAGCTTTGTAGAGAGTCAGTACTGTGTACATGAGGGCACAGATTGTAGTGTATAGTGCTTTGAGTACTCTGATTGGATAGAAAGGTGCCATTCATCATTTTCAAAAATGTAAACTAAAATTTGATGATGTAGTAGCTGACAGTTAACGCATACTAAACATTTTGTAGCATCACATCAGATTGTACATAATGTTAAATCTGGGATGACAAAATGGCTACAAATTAGATAAAAAAAATCTGGTGTCAAAAGATGGCAGATCTCATTTCTTCAAGGAATGCATGGCTTTAAACTTAAATTAATGCACATGTGCTGCAGTCTTGTTTTTTTTCCCCCTCTTTTATAACAGAACTATGATTTTGTGTTTTTTATAATGCAGGGCTACACCTCATTTTGGAATGACTGTATATCATCAGGGTTGCGAGGTTGCATGCTGATTGAATTAGCCCTGCGAGGACGCCTACAGCTGGAATCCTGTGGCATGAGGAGGAAAAGTCTGCTGGCCAGGAAGGTACAGGGCTCTAGACTAACTATTTGCTCTGGTTGCACTGGTGCGCCTAACTATTTTTCCTTTTGTGCACCAGCACAAAAGTTTGGTGCACCCAAATTTGCGAACATGTTGCATCAACATCACAGTTTTGCTAGTTCACTTTTTTAAATCATTGTCCATTAAGGCAGTATTAACTCATTCACTAATAAGCTAACAATCTAGCAAAAACGAAGTTCTGTATTTGAACCAGAATTGTATCTGTAATGTGTTTATGAGAGGGTCTCTGGAAATTTTTCGCCCTTGTAAGGGGTCCCCAGACCCAAATGGCTTGAGAACCCCTGGCTTATAGCACACATGGAACGTGTCTAAACAGTGAAATAAACATTGAAAGTCAATGGGGTGGTATTTGCTCTACGGCAAAGAAGTTTGTGTATCCATAATGCCTGTTTATACATTTCTCAGGTTTTATTAGCTCCCCAGTTTTAAAAAAATAAGGTAAAATTGTATCTGCTGCAGCAACTTATGTCAGAAATTTTCTTTTTATAAACAGTTATCTTAATTTTGACTGAAATTCACAGGTAATCTGTAAGTCGGATGCTCCAACTGGTGATGTACTTTTAGACGAGGCTTTAAAACACATCAAGGACACCCAACCACCTGAGACTGTGCAGAGCTGGATTGAACTGCTGAGTGGTAAGTTCTGCTAATTATTCTTTAAAGGTGAAAGGGTTATGACGGATGCTCCGATCAGGTTTTATGCTGCCGATTCTGATACCAATCACATATGAGTGCCAATCACTGCAGGTCACAGATACCGATCACATGTATTGGCAGTAAATTAATTGATTTGGTTATGAGTGCTACTGGTTACATGCGCTGGCAAAAAAGAAACAATAAAATCACAAATTTAGACAAAAACATGTTTTTACTTACATTTTTAGTAGAACAAATACAGAAAACCTGCAGGCACAATTCAACTATTCAGTCAAAAGGATAACTGCACTGCAAAAAATGTCCAATCTTATCCAGTCAAAAAGTCTTTTTGATCTTGTTTTGAGACTGATTTACTAAACAAGAACTGATTGTGTAAGAATAATAATCTTGTTTTAAGAATGTGTAAGATTATTTGTCTTAGTCTGAAAGTTTGACTCAAATTAAGTCAAAATATCTGCCAGTGGAGTAAGAAAATTTTACTTGGTAAGATTCTTGAAATAAGAGAAAATTGAGTCAAATCAAGTATTTCAAGAAGTCTTACCAAGTAAAAATTTCTTACTCCACTGGCAGATATTTTGACATAAATTGAGTCAAATTTTCAGGCTAACAAGACAAATAATCTTACACATTCTGAAAACAAGATGATTATTCTTACACAATCAGTTCTTGTTTAGTAAATCAGTCTCAAAACAAGATCAAAAAGATTTTTTTTTGGCTGGATATAAGATTTTAAAACTTGGTTAGGTGGACAGTTTTTGCAGTGTAGGGATGCATGATAACTTATTTTAAGAACCAATACCGATAACTTTCTCCTTCTGATGGCAGATAACCGATAACGGCAGATGTAACTCTGAAATGACAACACAGGCACGGCTTCTTCAAGAAGGGCGTCTTGCTTTGGTTTATTAAACGCCGTGAAAACTACACACACAAAACACAGAAGCTTTAGGCCCTTGATAGAGCTACAATTAGCACATGTGCTAATTGTAGCTCTATCTAATTGTAGCAAAACTTACCTCGTGGCCGCCTGCCACTTCGGAGGTCCTAGGCGAATAACGTCTTTTACATTCTAAATCAACACATGAAATAATTAGAACACAATAAAATACAAATTTACAGAATATTACAATACAAATATAACAAAATACCTTGTTCAGCTAGCAGTTTAACCAAGCTGCTGCAGACGATTCGATCAAAGTCTTATGCACATTCTTCTGCAAATGCAGGTCTCACAGTCCTTTAGAAATGCTCTTAAATCTCGCGATACTAGCGATACAACAAAAAATTGCTCTTTGCATCAAATAAAAACCTTTTTTGAACAAGATAATAACAGAATTTTGTCAACATAATTTTTCATGTGAACTACAACAATTTACAAACAAAAAATATTTAACTCTTCTGTAGTCAAATATTTATTTCCTTTTATGTAGAAGCATTTCAGTTATTAAATACATTAAACTTTTCATAAAGTCTGGTTCCAAATATAAACAATTTTGCTCATTAATCCTTTTTTAATAAAAGATAACAAAACAAAGCTATTAGGCTGCTGAATGGAGGAAAAACATGAAAAGAATAAAATGTTTTTAAATGTAAAACTATAATTATTTAATTATGATTATAACTTATTTACATTTAGAATTTATGATTTTTCTCAGATTCTTTACTTTTCCTTCCTGCTGCCTATGTGGCTAAAACGACAGATTATTATTTCTATTAACTCTGAGAGGAAAGTGGGTCTACCTGGACCAGGTGTTGTTTGTGGCTGCAACATAAACACCCTTCTCTGTTCTGCAGAGCTCAGAACTGATGCTTGGTTTGGTCGGCCCAATAAGCACGGTTCTGGAGCAGGTGCTCCAGAACCAGAACCCCTACTGAGAGCTGCTCTTGTCTCTCTCTTTTTTTTCTCCCCTCCTTTGTTTTGTAGATCCTTTGTTGCTAATAACAACTAACAAATAACTTTGGTCAGATAAAAGATTAGAGGGTTTTTATTTTTTGGCTCTAGAGAAAGATGAAACTGACGGTGGATTGAGGCTTTTATTTCCACGGGACGTGTTTCATGCTCATGATGTGACGCGCATCAAACAAGAACATCTTTTACATTAAAATAAAGTGTTGGGTACACTTTTTACCAGAACTTCGGTTCTACTTAGCCTAACAACACAATTTAAAAACTTGTTTAAAGTTTGAAGTCTCTACTTTTAGCTCTGTCTCGGAGAAGGATCGGACAGGTTAAAGCTGTCTAAATTGACAATGTGATGCCTCAGCATGTTATCAATTAATCGATTGGAACATTTTTTAATCTAATAAAACATTACTCAACACATCTCTAGTTAATATTGATAAATTCCAAGTTAAGAAACATAAACAGTCAAATATAACCGAGATAGACTGTGCACTCCCGCACAGCGGCGGACAATCTACTTTAGCCCAACACCTGACTCAGTTTCTCTCAGTAAACACGCACCTGTTGGTCAGATGTTGTTTCCCGGGTCACTGTCCCTGCCTCTCTTCTCCGGCTGCACCTGCCTGCTACTGTTCAGCTAACGTTAGCATCCATCTGCGAGGCTCATCTCTCTCTCAGGTGGAGGAATCAATAAACATCTTTCCGCTGGTTTTCCTTCTCTGACAGCTGGTTTTTAAAATTCTGCCAGCTTCAATGTTGTTTCAATTTCTTTTTCAAACTTGTTCTAACAAAGAAATTTATTTTAATTCGATCACCGCTACAACTTCTCCTAGATCTGAATCAAAGTTCTGCCGATATCCAAGTCCCGCCCCCATCTGATTTCTGTTTGGCTAGTAGACCTGTCTAGTGTGTTTAAAGTGAAAGCTGGTCCTCTGATAGGTCCAGAGACGGATTGACGCAATCATTGTTTAGTTTGTCCGAGACAATCTATTTTCGTTTCGGACAACCAGATCCCGCCTCCCAGTTGTCCGGTGGACAACCAAGAAAAAAAGAGTCTTTGAAAGTCTATGTTTGACTTTTATCTTTTCTAAAATCACAGAGTTCTGAGTCAACTTCAGGTGCTTGTAGTTAATACCTTCTAAATTTAAGTGTTTCAATGCCTTTAAATTACACAATAACTTTACTGGAGAAACTTCTCAGTTTGGTTAAAAAATCAGTAAAAATAATTTATTTTTTTCTGTGCAAAGAACTTCCTCTGCTAAATTTTTTTTTCAAATAAACATATCAAAGCCCCTCAGCTGAAAACACTAAAATGATGTTTAAAAACCTCTTTCCTCTGAAAGTCTTCAGTCCTAAGAACACTAAACTGTAACTTTAATAAGGTCATGTACACAGTTTACTTTTATTTAAATAAAAATGTTTGACCTGTAAGCAGAAAGCTTATGGATGGATGTTGATTTTTGATCTGTATTTCAAAGAGGATGAGGAGGAGAATGAGGAAGTTCTCCTCATGCAGCTCCTAAAACTGTTAAGCTGCTGACTGAGAACATTTGTATGCAATAAACTTTGTATACATAACAATATACTTATTAAATAACATTTTACCCCCACCCCACCACCCCCGCTCTTGAGAGGCCACCACATCACCACGGTTACCCTGAACATGAAATATAAATGACAGTTTTCATGTAGATTCTGTTTGTTTTGTTGACCAGTTTGTCTGTATAAATATCAATCATGAGGTTTTAAATGATTAAGTATTTTTAATTGCCCTTTTTATACATAAAATCCTTCATAATGTGCATGTTAATGCTTGGTGATAAAGGCCCTGTCACACTAGACAATTTATGAAACATTTCTATGACTAAATTGTTAATAAAAGTTATATATTTGATCATTTTGTTAGAATTACATTATGTACACAGAAAAGAAGCTTCCTGTTTATTTTTTCAATTCCATGTTCACCATTTACCTTTTTAACATAAGTTGTCTAGTGTGACAGGGCCTTAAAGGTTGACACTGGAACTGTGATTTTCCAGTTGCGTTGTTAAATTCTAAATAATATTTAAATTAATAAATCACAGGTAATCTTCTGCTCAGAAAAAAATTTGCTTTAAACTTCATTTTTCTTGATGTGCTGGATAGAATGACGTCTGCCTTTTAAATAGTTTTCTGTAGTAATATTTTGTATTATCAACACATAAGCAAACAAGTGTGGGGGTGGGGGTGGGGGGTAAAAGGTTCAGGCTCAAGATTTTTTTCCGCTATACCCCTGGGTTATGTCGACCCCTTTAAAATTGGTCTCTGTGCCATTAAAGTCACAAAATGGGTCATTCTTTCCTACATGTCCGATAGTTGTCCAGCTGCTGGCCCCACTCCAAATAGAGCCAAAATTGGGTCTGGCTTGATCTGTTTTTATTTTTTTGTCTGGATTTTGGAAAGAGTTTGAAATATAGTATTTCCAGTATGTTTTGGTATGCGGACAATTCCAAAATATATGAGCTAGTGAGGCCGGCTCTAGTGTGCATCTATCACATGATTTATCAACTGAGGAAAACATTTTTGATAATTCCAGTTTAAATGTGGTCTGTGCAAAACCTTGAATTGCAAGAGACCATGCCTAATACATACTGAAGTAGAATGAACATATTCTTGGACCACTGGCTCTCTGTACTATTCACTCCTAAATCTTCCTCCCAAGCTTTTTTTCAAATGGTAGGTGCTGAGTCTTCCTGTAATAACTAATTATGGATCTTTGTTATTAAGCCCTTTTAGCTGGATCAAACAAAGATTGTCTCCATAGGGGAAGGTTGGGGTAGACGAGGGAAGGATTGAAAAAGGCTTTTCACGCAACTTCGAATCTGTAGGTATTTAAAAAAATACCTATATATATA